GGACAATTATCGACTACAACCTTCCCAAACAAGTGAAAATGTGTGAAATGCAGACTTTCGTGTTCTCGATTTGACGTCACATTACCCACTAGAGCCATTCCTCTTTAAACTCGGTCGTGGGGCAAGATGGCGGCCGATTTTCCGTATTTTGACTGGGCATAGAAAATTGAAGATTTGAGCAAATAAAAAAATTTTTGCGCAGAAATACTCAAAAAAATAAGCTTACTTCGTTAAGCGAAAAAAATTTTTTGGGTGTAGGTGCACTTTAAAGCTGAGACTGCAAATAAGTTTCATGTTCTTTCCTGTGTCGATGTTTGGTATGGTTGTTTCGTGGATCCATTGGTCGTTTGCAGGGTCAAAACACTCAACACTCAGTTCAGTTTGGCACCTCTCATTTGATCCACCCCGTACGTACATCTTTCCATTCAAACAAACCATACTACCATAACGACATGGAACATTCAAGTTCGCAATATATTGCTACTCATTTGTCGATGTAGTGTACATCTCACAAGTTTGTAATATCCCTCTCGTGTTTGTTCCCCCAGCAACGAAGATTTTTTTCTTCAGAGCCCACTCCGAAAGCTTCGCTTCTCTCTTCTCGCATGTCTGCGATTTCCTCCCACTTGTTCTCCACGGTATCGACTCTCTCAGCTTTGGTGACGAATTCCATTGTGTCTGGATTCGACCCACCAAAAACATACTGATGGTTGCCGGCTGCAACAACACAAGCATTCCGTCTACACTGTGCAAAGGTAGTATCCATGATCTACACATGACCAGTTTCACACATGCTAAACTCTCACGCACCAGTTCGATTGCCACGACATCCTCCAGGCAGTCACGCGTTAGAAAACCCAGTCGAACGTGACCAAATAGTTCTTCAAATGCTGCTTTCACACGCTCTTTCTGTGATTTACCCAGTCTAAAATAAGTTTAAAAACGTTGGCTTCCTCTTTGACTTTTATCTCGTCGGACAAAATCCATCTCTCGACTTCTTTAGCTTCCAAGTGCAAAATTTCATCCATTTTTGCTACAGTAACGATGTTCTCGTTTATAAAACGCCTGCTGGTGTTGATAAGCTCGTCACAATCGTATTTCTCAGTGAAAAGATTGAAATACAGTTAAGTTTGGACATTTCTCCTTCTAAAAATCGACCTGAAACAGTTTTCAAGCTCGGTATGATCAAATAATTTCCTGCAGCGATCAGTTCTTTGGCATTCTCCTGAGTTACTTCCACAGTTCCAGTGTAGATAAATTCCAAAACATCTTCCATAACAGTTCCCGAAATCTCCTGAAATCGAACAATCCCTTCGCGTTTCTCCTTCATGTCGTTCTGCATAAGCTTGCAAAAGTACGTACTTGCGGCGGCAAGCACGTTTCTGTGAGCCTTTAACTCTCTGTTCTCGTTCGAAACCAAAGTTACGTCGCCTAAATAATCTTGTTTTCGCTGAATGTTGAGGTGCTTCATCAATTCCACACAAAAGGAAGTTTGCTCCTGGCTGAGATTGGCTGTAATTCTTCCATTTTTAGAGAGTTATCCTTGTTTCCTAGGACAGATCCCTTCAAATATCTCTTGGTGATGTAGAATACTGAGATCAAGGGAGAGAATCGAAAGCGGAAGTTCTTACCTCGTTCTCAAACTCCTTCCCGTCTTATCGAGCTTCAGCCCATGCTAAGAATCGCTCCAATTAACAATTGGTTCATGCTTTAGCGTGCACTATCGAGTTATGGATAGGAGCACGTGGGAAGTTTGGAGAGCACGAAAGAAGTGTAAGAGTTGCCCGAGGCAATGGCCGAGGGCAACTCTAGCTTCTTGAGNGGCAGAAGGCGATTAAAATATTTAAACAAAAGAATATTTATATGGCGGCCATTTATTAAAGTGGTCTATTGCTAACATTTTCAAGCTCTCTGTTTACAATAGTGGGTGTACTATTTGTTGACTTTCGCAAGGCTTTTGACTCAGTTAACCATTCAATCCTGTTGGAGAAACTGAAAGCCACTGGCATATCGGGGTATCTGCTTTCTTGGCTTGCCAATTATTCGTCTAACCGAAATCAGTTTGTCCAGATATCTGGAAAGAAATCTGCCCTACCACCTGTGAAGTATGGAGTGCCCAAAGGGTCCATCCCGGGGCCTAGATTATTCTCGATATATGTTAATGACTTGCCTGAATCATATCTTATGGTGACCTCTATATGTTTGCTAAAGACACCACAGTTTATACCATTGGTAGGGATACAGACATGATCATCTCTTCACTTTGATGTATTCTATCCCAGCTACACGTATCATGGTGCACAGCCAACAGACTAATTGTACATGAATCAAAGACTGAAGCAATGATAATATCTAGATCCACCTTTATAGGCCCTCTGCCAGCTTTAAAGTGCACCTACACCCAAAAAATTTTTTTCGCTTAACGAAGTAAGCTTATTTTTTTGAGTATTTCTGCGCAAAAATTTTTTTATTTGCTCAAATCTTCAATTTTCTATGCCCAGTCAAAATACGGAAAATCGGCCGCCATCTTGCCCCACGACCGAGTTTAAAGAGGAATGGCTCTAGTGGGTAATGTGACGTCAAATCGAGAACACGAAAGTCTGCATTTCACACATTTTCACTTGTTTGGGAAGGTTGTAGTCGATAATTGTCCGAAAATATGCCGACTAAGTGTGTTGTAGAAGGATGTAGCAACGTGCGAAATTTGCAAGAGGGTATCGCGCTTCATACATTCTTCATACAACACACCTAGTCGGCATATTTCGGACAATATCGACGACAATCTTCCCAAACAAGTGAAAATGTGTGAGATGCAGACTTTCGTGTTCTCGATTTGACGTCACATTACCCGCTAGAGCCATTCTTCTTTAAACTCGGTCGTGGGGCAAGATGGCGGCCGATTTTCCGTATTTTGACTGGGCATAGAAAATTGAAGATTTGAGCAAATAAAAAAATTTTTGCGCAGAAATACTCAAAAAAATAAGCTTACTTCGTTAAGCGAAAAAAATTTTTTGGGTGTAGGTGCACTTTAAAGCTGAGACTGCAAATAAGTTTCATGTTCTTTCCTGTGTCGATGTTTGGTATGGTTGTTTCGTGGATCCATTGGTCGTTTGCAGGGTCAAAACACTCAACACTCAGTTCAGTTTGGCACCTCTCATTTGATCCACCCCGTACGTACATCTTTCCATTCAAACAAACCATACTACCATAACGACATGGAACATTCAAGTTCGCAATATATTGCTACTCATTTGTCGATGTAGTGTACATCTCACAAGTTTGTAATATCCCTCTCGTGTTTGTTCCCCCAGCAACGAAGATTTTTTTCTTCAGAGCCCACTCCGAAAGCTTCGCTTCTCTCTTCTCGCATGTCTGCGATTTCCTCCCACTTGTTCTCCACGGTATCGACTCTCTCAGCTTTGGTGACGAATTCCATTGTGTCTGGATTCGACCCACCAAAAACATACTGATGGTTGCCGGCTGCAACAACACAAGCATTCCGTCTACACTGTGCAAAGGTAGTATCCATGATCTACACATGACCAGTTTCACACATGCTAAACTCTCACGCACCAGTTCGATTGCCACGACATCCTCCAGGCAGTCACGCGTTAGAAAACCCAGTCGAACGTGACCAAATAGTTCTTCAAATGCTGCTTTCACACGCTCTTTCTGTGATTTACCCAGTCTAAAATAAGTTTAAAAACGTTGGCTTCCTCTTTGACTTTTATCTCGTCGGACAAAATCCATCTCTCGACTTCTTTAGCTTCCAAGTGCAAAATTTCATCCATTTTTGCTACAGTAACGATGTTCTCGTTTATAAAACGCCTGCTGGTGTTGATAAGCTCGTCACAATCGTATTTCTCAGTGAAAAGATTGAAATACAGTTAAGTTTGGACATTTCTCCTTCTAAAAATCGACCTGAAACAGTTTTCAAGCTCGGTATGATCAAATAATTTCCTGCAGCGATCAGTTCTTTGGCATTCTCCTGAGTTACTTCCACAGTTCCAGTGTAGATAAATTCCAAAACATCTTCCATAACAGTTCCCGAAATCTCCTGAAATCGAACAATCCCTTCGCGTTTCTCCTTCATGTCGTTCTGCATAAGCTTGCAAAAGTACGTACTTGCGGCGGCAAGCACGTTTCTGTGAGCCTTTAACTCTCTGTTCTCGTTCGAAACCAAAGTTACGTCGCCTAAATAATCTTGTTTTCGCTGAATGTTGAGGTGCTTCATCAATTCCACACAAAAGGAAGTTTGCTCCTGGCTGAGATTGGCTGTAATTCTTCCATTTTTAGAGAGTTATCCTTGTTTCCTAGGACAGATCCCTTCAAATATCTCTTGGTGATGTAGAATACTGAGATCAAGGGAGAGAATCGAAAGCGGAAGTTCTTACCTCGTTCTCAAACTCCTTCCCGTCTTATCGAGCTTCAGCCCATGCTAAGAATCGCTCCAATTAACAATTGGTTCATGCTTTAGCGTGCACTATCGAGTTATGGATAGGAGCACGTGGGAAGTTTGGAGAGCACGAAAGAAGTGTAAGAGTTGCCCGAGGCAATGGCCGAGGGCAACTCTAGCTTCTTGAGTGTAAATGGATTAAGGAACAAACCCCGTTATGTTTGGCCGTCAGTGATAAGTATGGTGAGAGCACTACGTCCAAGGCATAAATAAATATTTTAATTAGGTAGGAGTGCTGACCCTGAAGAGGGTTTAAAGTGCAAGTCGAAATGACTGATTAATAGTACCCTTTACTGTTTTACCGGCGACTTTATTGGTTGATTTACACATTACAAACAAGTCTGCTGCATCATAGTTAATAGAGGGTAACTATGGCTGCATGTATCTCCACAAAAATAGATCTAGTAACGAGAAAATAAAATGCGTTTATTCTGCATTCTGCATTTCGCTGATCTCAACAGGTTTCAAATATAATTGCTTAATGGTGACCATCTTTCCTCATCTACAGTAAACTAGTCTGTCCGTTAAGACCTGTTTCGTCTTCTTTTTGACCACTGAGGCAGTCAGTGTGAAAGTTGCGAAGCAGTCAAGTATACATAATAATGATTTAGAAGTCAGCTGCTGTAAACATCACTACACAAAGTGCCATCTTTAGTGAGTGAGTTTAAAGTATAACGGTGTACAGCAAACGGTAAACGGTCAAAACTGATCCCTGCGTTAACTTAGACTTTTTAGGGGAGCGAGCTACTAAATTAAGGCAATAAAAAGCGAATGCCTATTCCTGCTGTCTGTCACGAACATCATGGCTAAATCCAAAGCTGTAAATTATCGGAAAAACTACTCCCCAACAATGCTTAGTTTGTCTATTAAATCTCTGGAGAGCTTCAGAACAGAGGCAGTGAATGCGTTTTTATTTCCTGGGTCGATGTTCGTCACTGGTATGGTTGTTTTGTGGATCCATATTTTGTTTGCCGGGTGAAAATATTCAACACTCAGTTCAGTTTGGTTTCTCCCATTTTTTCCACCCAGTACGTACAGCTTTCCATTCAGACAAACAATACTACCGTTATAACGTGGAACATTCAAGTTTGCAATACATTGCCACTCATTTGTCGACGTAGTGTACATCTCACAAGTTTTTAATCTCCCTCTCCTGCTTATTCCTCCAGCAACGAAGACTTTTTCTTGAGAGGCCACCCCGAAAGCTTCGCCTCTTCCTTCTAGCATGTCTGCGATTTCCTCCCACTTGTTCTCCACGGTGTCGAATCTCTCAGCTTTGGCGGAGTAATCCCTTGAGTCTGGATTCCTCCCACCAAACACGTACAGATGGCTGCCGGCTGCAACAACACAGGTATTCTGTCTATACAGTTCATTAGACGAGTGAAGTGTCTCCCATTTATATTTCTCTACATTGTACCTCTTCGTGGAGCTTTTCCTGTAACAGATGTCAACGTCGACAGCATAAATTTCTCCTTTAAGAACGGCCACCTTTGCAGAACCTGCATTCAAGTTTAGCTCGGACCAAACGTTAAAAACAGGATCGTACCTCTCTTGATTATCATAATCCTTGAATGCGAACAACTGATCACGGAATTTTATCATCTGAGTTGAAAACGTGCTTTCCTTCAGACCATCTGGTAAGCGCTTCCACAGGTCCTCTTCAGGGAGATAACAAAAAGTGCACTTGCCACCCCGAGCAACAATAACACGGGTATCATATCCCTTTCTCGGTGACTTCGGGAGATCATCGTCATCGACAAAAGTAGCCATCTTTGTAGTAGCCTCCATAACCAGCTTCACACAAGCCAAATTCTCACGCACCAGTTCGTTTGTCACGATATCCTCCAAACAGTCACGCGACAGAAAACTCAGTCTAACATGAGGAAACAATTCTTCAAATGCTACTATACGCTCGCTCTTGTTGTGTTCAACCCATTTCAGTATGATCTTGAAGATGCTGGCTTCCGCTTCCACAGCAATCTTGTCACTTGAAATCCACCTCGCCACCTCCTTTGCCTCCAAACTCAGAAATTCATCCATTTCTCCTACGGAGGCGAAATTTTCGTGGATGAATTTCGTGCTGTTGCCAATAAGCTCAACACAGTCGTATTTCTCAGCGAAATAAAAGGTCGAGATGCAATTTGAATTAGACATTTCTCCCTCTAGAAATCGCCCCGAAACAGTTTTCAAGCTCGGTATCATCAGATAATTCCCTGTGGCGATCAGTTCCTTGGTATTTTCCTGAGTTACTTCCACAGTTCCAGTGTAGATGAATTCCAAAACATCTTCCATAACAGATCCTGAGATCTCGTCAAATCGAATAATCCCTTGATGATTCTCTTTCATGTCGCACTGAAGAAGCCTGCAAAAGAACGGACTTGCGGCGGAAAGCACATTTCTGTGAGCCTTAAACTCGCAGTTATCTTTCGAAACTAAGGTGATGTCGCACAAATAATCTTGTTCTCGCTGAATGTTGAGGCGCTTCAACATTTCCACACAGAAAGCCGATTGTTTAGCGGCTGAGATGGGCTGTAAATCTTCCATCCTTTATAGAATATCCTTATTTCTGTTAGCAGATCCTGCTCAAATTTTGTTGATAATATGGATTACTCCGGAAAAATATCGAAAGCGGAAATATGGCTGGTTCCCACTTTCCCACATGCCCGCTCGGTTTTTCTTTTCCGAGTCGACTGAGAGATTGTGGGCCGTGGGATGAGTAGAATAACAATTTCAGAGGACTGGGAAAATGTTGTGGACAGAATCTCGTCGGAAAGACGGAAAGTCAGAGGCTGGATTCTTTTGAGAAAACGTCCTGTTGTTATATTTGCGCAATGTAATATTTAGATAGGGATTTTAATTGATCAAATCGAACGGGGATGAAAATAGCCAAGGGACCGGTCCATATATACCCCCTTGAGGGGCTGGAGGATTTTGGTTGCACTGAGTCACGTTAAAAAATCAGTTACCTGATCCCCTCATCATATACAGTAAGGCCTTGAAATATTCTATGGTCCCCCCTCATTTTCAGTTAAGTCAGTGGCAGTCAGTTTTCTATTGTCCCAGCTTTATGCTCTATTGGTGAATGGCTAGAACTGATTCCACTCCATTTCCCCTGAAAAACCATGTGATCCCCTGAAATCCTCTGCCCCACTCTTCAACCGGGCGACATTTAATAACTGGTCCCTGATATGGATGGCAAAATGTGGGCTTAACTGCATAGGGCTTATTGATTAGGACGACCGGAGGACCCCATTGCTCAAATCTAACAGAAATATTGAGTTACATGTATGAAGAGTTATTTTCCTTCCCAGGAATCTCGCTGAAAATTTCACTTTTTTCTCGAAATTTATATGAAAACAGAGTTGCAAACAAAAGAAGAATAATACTCAATCACTTAAGGATGGAAAATCCACAGTAATTTTCAGCAAAGAATGCGAAATTCTATCTGACTGAGTAACTTTACAATACTTGACAATTTACGTCTTGCCGGATAAATATACAAAACAAAACAATCATTTACATATAGGCATTACAATCACAAGTTTTCTCCTCGTTTCTTCTTGATGACGTAAATTAGCGATGTTAATCCACTGAGTTAGTGCAATCATGATGTTTGCATCATTTCTTCAGAAAACGAGATAACCTTCAATAAATCAATACACCAACTTTTCGGCTCGATGAACGAGGTTCAGGCGTTCCGGTTTACAGAATTTAATCATTTTAGAGACATGTTTTCCTAATTATAAACGTCGCATCTTCGAGTTTGGAACTCCGTGCAGCTTAAGACGCTTCCTTTTCTTGACAATGATTTCTCTCTTTTTTTTAAGATTTTACACTTTCTGTTATTCGCTTATCTGGTTCCTGCAACTCATCATCTAACCTCAGTTTGCATCATTACTCTTAACAGGTTTTCGGTTTAGAGGGAACTCAATCATAGTTTTGAGGAAAATAGGGTCAGTATTCTACTTCCTGATAAGCCCCTTAATGAGCACATTACCACAATGACAAGCCGGTTTTGACTAAAGGGAGCAATCACTGTTAACATGTCTAACAAGAATCAAGTGTAATGATTTAGCAGTCCAGTGCTTGCCGCATGCCTATACATGCCATGTTGCCATACAGACTTTAAGTATGAGATTAACAACAAAAAGCGACCATCGCAGTATGACCTTTGATTTTCTCGGCCCCTCCTCGAGTTAATCCTTGGAGCAGACAAACAAAAATCATCGTGTATCATACACAATGAACTTTGTTTGCTCTCCTTTTGTTGCGAACGTCACATTCAAGCTCTTTTATTTCGAGGCTGTAGTGCGTTTAAGGGACTACTCCCCAACAACCTTAAGTTTGTCGAGGAGTTCTCTAGTGAGTCTCAGAACACAGCTGAACAATGGGTATGAGGTGACTGGTGCCATTGTTGTAAGGATCCATGTGTCCTTAACTGTGTCAAAACATTCAACATTCGGCTCAGTTTGGCCCCTTCATTTCTCCCTCCCAGTATGTATAGCTTTCCTTTCAGACGAACCATGCTTCCGTAATATCGTGGAACATTCAAGCTTGCAACAAGTTGCCATTGGTTTGTTGACGTATTGTACATCTCGCAAGTTTTCAATATTTCCCCATTGCGTAATCCCCAGCGACGAAGACTTTTTCTTGAGTAGCTGCTCCAAAAGCATTCCCTCTTCCTTCCAGCATGTCTGCGATTTCCTCCCATTTGTTCTCCACAGTGTTAAATCTCTCAGCCTCAGTGATGGATTGTTTTGTGTCTGGATTCGTTCCACCAAACATATACAGATATACAGATGGCTGCCACCAGCAACAATACAAGCATTTTTCGCTTTACACACCCTATCACAGGCGTGATCGAGTGTCTCCCAAGCCCAAGGTTTCACATCATATCTCTTCACGGTATTATTTTCCCAATAGCGGCAGGTACTGACTACAACGGCATAAATGTCTCCTTTTACCAGAGCCACCTTAGTAGAATTTGAGTGCAAGTCTACCGCTGACCAACCATTGCAAAACAGATCGAGTCTCTCTGTATCTGGAAAGTTACTAAAGGTAAACAACTGATCGCGGCGGTTTATCATTACTGTGCCATCAGCCTCTTTTACTTTCAAACCGTCTGGTAAACGCCTCCACTGGTCTTCCTCGGGGAGATAGCAAAGAGTGTACTTGCCACCACGGGCAACAATAACACGTGTGTCATTTCCCTTTATCGGTGACTGCGGGAGATCATCTTCATCGGCAAAAGCATCCATCTTTACTGTAGCATCTAACGTCAGCCTCAGACAAACCGGGCTGTTACGAACAAGTTCGTTTGTCACGACATCCTCCAGACAGTCACGTGACAGAAAACCCAGTCGAACGTGACCAAACAATTTTTCAAATGTTGCTTTTCGCGCGCTCTCTCTGTGGTTTACCCAGTCTTATATGATTTTAAAAGCATCAGCTTCCTCTTTGACTGTAATCTCGTCGGACTAAATTCACCTCTCGATCTCTCTAGCTTCCAAGTTCAAAAATTCATCCATTTTTGCCACGGAAACGATGTTTTCGTGAATAAAACGCCTGCTACTGGTGATAAGCTCGTCACAATCGTATTTTTTTCCAAGGTAAAAGGTTGAAATACAGTTAATGTGTGAAATTTCTCGTTCCAAAAACTGCCCTGAAACAATTTTCAAGCCCGGAACGATCAGATAATTCCTTGCCGCGATCAGTTTCTTTGCATTCTCCTGAGTCGCCTCTACAGTTCCAGTGTAGATGAATTCCAAAACATCTTCCATAACAGATCCTGAAATCTCCTCAGTCAAACCGAACAACTCCCTTTCGATTCTCTTTCACGTCGCTCTGAAGAAGTCTGCAAAAGTACGGACTTGCGGCGGAAAGAACATTTCTGTGAGCCTTTAACTCTCTGTCGTCTTTGGAAACCAAAGTAATGTCGCACAAATAATCTTGTTTTCGCTGTGCGTTGAGGCGCTTCATCAGTTCCACACAGAAAGCCGTTTGTCCGGCAACTGAGATGGGCTGTATATCCTCCACATTTAACAGAATTTCACAATTTCCGTGGGTAGATTCTGATAAAGTGGATTAATACTCGGGAAAAATATCGAAAGCGGAAACATATATGGTTCCCACTTTCCCCTACGCCCCCTCGGTTGCCGCGTCTCCTGGGAGATTGTGGAGAAGAGTACCAGAGTCTATCTGTCACGGCGATTTTTGTCACCGGTATGGTTATTTTGTAGATCCATTCCTCACTCGAAATGTCAAAACATTCAATACAATATACAACACAATTGTTAAGCGGTCTTTAATACAAAAGAAAGTTAAAGTATTTTCCACGAAGAGCAGTGAGATTTGTCTCCAACAGTTGTCAGCAAAGAGTGTAATGGTGTAGTTCGCCTTTTAAACTCTTGCTTAACAGCAGAAGTTCTCTATCGAATTTTTCTGATAGACCCTACGCACTTGAGAAAGGGTTCGATGGTGCTTTTATTCACCTACCAGGACTATAAATCAAGAGACCACAGCTCCGGTAAGAGGGCAAAATTACTCAAATTATCAAATCAAGATCCTCATGCCCGTGGGAGATGGAATTCTGATTTTCCAGGATTTCCATGACTTGCGCGAACCCTGGCACCATTCAATGAAACGAAATATGACTTGAACTTGAAAGAAAGTAGGACAAAGTACTAGCCACAAGCAAAAATATGGAGCTGTAAAAATTGTTAGAAGGTGGCAAAGGATTTTTTACGTGACAAATAATTAGGGCCAAAATTATTAAGTGACGTGTTTTGTGACGCGTATGCTGTGACGCGTGAATCTTACAGAAAAGCGAGCGTGATTCGTACGTGAACAATGAGCCAACGTGAGGCGGGATTTCCCTTTTAAAGTATACGTGACCGCGATCTTTTTCTTTCACTGGTGAAAACCTTAAGATTTCCCTGAAAACTTCCACACGAGAGGAGAAATTTGATAGTTTCCTTTTAAATTTGTGAACTTGAAATGCTGTTTAAGGTACACCAGACGCATAAACTTTTCTAAAATTCTCGTGTAAAACGGGCTTAAGACCCCCTCTCCTCCCCACCCCTCCCCCACATAGTAATTGTGACAAAATAATTGAAAAATAATCCAGCAAAAGCAAGTCGGTTATGATTACAATTTTTTTGTGGTAAATTCAGGCACAAGAGACTTCAGTTTATTCGAAAAGTGCTACTTCCACAATTTTTCCACTTTACAGCGAGTTCCATTCCTGGTTTTAAAACATTTGCTTCTTTGGATGGAATTTGACTAAGCCTGAGGTATTTAAATTTTTTCAAACAGCTTGGTTCAAATCTTTTACTGAAAGACTAGTCCTTATTGATTGCCAAAAAATCCATTTGTTGCTACCTAAATTTCTTGATATTGTTATATAAACGTTAATTACGAGCTTTATCTTTCGTTCTTCCCAATAATTGCTAACATCGTTTAAGAAAAATGGCTTGAAACCTAGCTTTGCAGAGCTTCTCGTAAATATGGGCGAAATCAAAGGATACTCTTTGTGTCTAAGAAACAAACCATATGTTTCATTTGACGTCATTTTAGCCAATCATCAGTTGTAATACTGATTAGATAAGGATCGAATGGGACAACGAAACATGTCAAGTGACAGTTCGCGTTTTCAAAATGCTGATGAACATTCAAGAAATTCGGTTATTTTGAAGTTTTCTATGAAATCGTTGACTTCTTCGTAATAGAAAATCGACTGCCAATAAACTATTAATGAAGAGGAGGAATATAAAATACTGACTGGCGCTCCCTAATTAGACGACTGTGCACACTACTTAGGAACTGGGGGGGTAAGGATTTTTGGCTTTGTCATGATAAAATTTACCTTTACGGTGGGGGATGGGTCGGAGGATTTGTGAGGATCACATAGTTTCCAGGGGAAATGGAGGGGGGATCGGTCGTCGCCAATAGAGGGGGACTATAAGAAATTGACTGTCAGTGAAGGAGAATTATTAGAATACTACATAGCCTCAAAGGGGATCAGGTAAATTTTATCATGACATAGCCAAACATCCTTACCCACCAGGTGACAAATGATGACAAGTCCTTAACTAGTGTACACAGTCGTCCAATTAGGGAGCGCTAGTCAGCATTTTTAACTAACCAAACGGTTTAACGAGTCGCAAAGTGACTGAGAAACTACACCTCTATAGTACTAAGTTCGTCTAGTGCACCTTTGGAAAACCTCATTGCACATCCAATCAACGGATTATATGTTGTGGAGATGCTTTCCACTGGTATGGTTGTTTTTTGGATCCATTTGTCCTCAGCTGTGTCAAAGTATTCAACTCTTAGTTCACTTTGATTACTACCTCTTATCCCACCCAGTACGTACAGCTTTCCATTCAGCTGTACCATACTTCCATAACAACGACCAAAATTCAGCATTGAAAAAGTTGCCATTCATTTTTTGATATATCATACATCTCGCAAGTATTTAATAATTTTCCTCTGCATGCCCCTCCAGCGACAAAGATTTTCTCTCGAGTGGCCACCCCAAAAGCGCCACCTCTTTCTACCAGCATATCAGCAATTTCTTCCCATTTCTTTTCCACAGTGTCAAATCTCTCACCACTTGCGAAATATTCCTGTGTATTTATCCACCCACCAATCATATACAGGTGTCTACCAGCTGCATCAACACAAGTATCCAGTCTACAATCTTGATCAAACGAGAGATCAACTGTCTCCCATTTACGCAGCTCTACGTTGTACTTTACGACCGTAGTTTTCTGGTCAGTGGTGTTTACTTGAACAGCATAAATTTCCCCTTTAACGATAGCTACGTTAGAGGACTCCGCGTGCGATTTCAAGGCTGACCAATCGTTAAAAATTGGATCGTATCTCTCTGCACCTACAGATTTTGTGAAGGTAAGCAACTGATCACGGAATTTTATCATCTTCGATGTAATGGCATTGAGCTCCTTCGTACCATCAGGTAAACGCTTCCAGTGGTCTTCTTCAGGAATATAACAAAAAGTGTACTTGCCACCCCGAACTACAATAACACGTGTATCAGTTCCCTTTCTCGATGACTGTGGGAGATCATCTTCATTGACAAAAGTAGCCATCTTAAAAGTAGCATCGACTGTTAGCCTCAAACAGACAGCACTGTCACGGACAAGTTCGTTTGTCACGATATCCTGCAAACTGTCACGCGACAGGAAACCCAGCCGAACATGACGAAACAATCCTTCAAATGCTGTTTTTCGCTCGCTCTCTCTGTGGTTTACCCAGTCTAAAATGATTTTAAAAACATCAGCTTCCTCTTCGACTGTAATCTCATNGTTCAATGCACTTCAACATGATTTCAAACACATTAGCTTCCACCTTCGCTATGACCTCGTCGCTTGAAAGCCACCATTCGACTTCTTTAGACTCCAAGCTTAAAAACTCATCCATTAATGCCACAGAAACAAAACTTTCCTGGATAAAATTCTTGCTTCCGGTTAAAAGTTCGACGCATTGATATTTCTCAGCAAGGTAAAAAGTTTAAATACAGTTTGAGTAGTTCATCTTCTGCTCTAGGATTCGACCGGAAATAACTTTCAAGCTGGGTAGTAGTAGATAATTTGCTGCAGCGACGAGTTCTTCCCCACTTTCCTCGGTCACTTCCACAGTTCCAGTGTAGAGAAATTAAAGAACATCTTCCATAACTCAAAGCGAATATTTTCCTCTTTATTCTCCTTCATATCGCTCTGAAGAAGCTTGCAAAAGAACGGACTTGCAGCGGAGAGCACATTTCTGTGAGCATTCAACTCTTTGCCTTCTTTCGTCACCAAAGTTATGTTGCAGAACTGTACTCCCCAGTTTAATCTACTCATACACTGACCCGCAACCCTCCACTGATTGCTGAACACTCAACACCGATGGTTGAGGAGTGTTTGTATCAAGCATTTTCTCGTCACTACTAACCCCGGTTAAATGGTGTGCATTCCATCCTTTCCTCTCCCATCTTCCGTACCTCTTTCCCCCATCTCTGCGCCTGTCCCCTGAGTGTAGCCGCCCCTTGCTAAGCCGCGGCAGCCTAAGTACCATAAAGTTCTACTAATTCCGTATGCGTGTTTCGACGTATTGATCACAGCCAACTCTGCTTACAAACCTTGAAAACAAGGCTAATATTTTGACAATGGAAGACCTTCCACCCATCGCTATCACTGAACAAAATCCTTTCTGTCTGGAAATGATGAAACGGCTCAACATACAAAGAAAACAAGGCCACTTGTGCGACATAACTTTGATTACGAAAGATGACCAGGAATTAAAAGCTCACAGAAATGTTCTTTCCGCTGCGAGTCCGTTCTTTTGCAAACTTCTTCAGAGCGACATGAAGGAAAATCGGGAAGGGGTCGTTCGGTTTGAGGAGATTTCGGAATCTATAATGGAAGATGTCCTGGAATTCATCTACACTGGAACTGTGGAAGTAACTCAAGAAAATGCCGACGAGTTAGTCGCTCCAACGAATTATCTCATTGTCCCAAATTTGAAAACAATCCCTGGTCGATATTTACAACAAAAAATGTGTGCAACAAACTGCATTTCAACCTTTTACTTCGCCGAGAAATACGACTGTGAAGAGCTTGTAAGCGACAGCAAGAGTTTCATTCACGAGAACTTCGCGTCTGTGGCAGTCATGGATGAATTCCTAAGTTTGGAAGCAAAAGAGGTGGAGAGATGGATTTCAAGTGATGAGATTGTTGTTGAAGCGGAAGCCGATGTTTTCCAGATATTACAAAAGTGGGTTGAACATGACAAGAGCGAGCGGAAAGCAGCGTTTGAAGAGCTGCTTCGTCACGTTCGACTGGATTTCGTATCGCGTGACTATCTATTGAATGTCGTGACAAACGAACTCGTGCGTGACAACGCTGGCTGTTTCAGACTGGTTTCAGATGCCATAAAACAGACTACGTTTTCAAGCGATGATAATCTTTCCCAGTCCCCTAGAAAAGGGCTAGACACACGTGCTATAGTGGCTTGTGGAGAAGAATATGCCTTCTGCTATGTCCCTCAGAAAGATGAGTGGAAAAGATTACCCAACAGGTTGGCAAAAGAGCAGTTCAACAACCTTTCAACCAACATGATAAGATTTCGTGATCAGTTGTTCATGTTTCATTACTGGGGTCGATCAGAGAGGTATGATCCTGTTTTTAATGGTTGGTCATCAGTCCCTTTTGACATATGGCAGGACAAAGTGACTGTCATTGGAGGAGAGTTATTTTCTATTGACCAAACTTTCAAGAAAATTAAGGGAGTTAAAAAACTCTCAAAAACTACAACTATTAAAAAATTCCTTGTAGAGTCATGTTCATGGAAACAGTTTCACTCCTCTTCTGAGTGCTACAGGAAAGAGTCTTGTGTCATTGGATCTGGTAACTTTTTGTATCTTTTGGGTGGGAAGTTCCCACGTACATCCCAATATGTCGCAAAAGCTGACAGATTTGACATTACAGAAAAGAAATGGGAAGAAATCACAGATATGCAACAGGCAAGAGGTGGGGCTTTTGGCGTGGCCACTCAGGAAAATATTTTTGTTGCTGGCGGTGCAGATAAAGAAAACACAGTGTTGATAACGTGTGAAGTGTACAATGTTTCCTCAAACGAATGGCAGTTGATTGCAAACTTGAATGTTTGCCGCACACATGGTAGTATGGTTTGTCATGGTGGAACATTGTATGTGCTGGGTGGCTTTGACCAAACTAAGGAAAATCCGGAATATTCAGTTGAATGTTATGACTCCACACAGGGCAAGTGGATTGTGAAGACAACCATACCAGTGGAAAAGGACTGTAAGAATGAATATGCATTCAAAGGCTGTGTGCTGAATTTCTCTAAAGGAGTATTGGACAATCTTGCTGATGCAGTTGAACAGAAAGTTTGACGGTGCCTCAAACTGTAGTCATATGAAGGAAAATAACTTGAGGTTGAACTACACTAAAGAAACAATTTGTAACAGCAAAAGAATCCCCTTGACCAAAGCTAGAAAAAGTTTGGTAGAACAATGACAGAACTTTCCTATCAACCTGAGTCAGGAAAGAAAGATGGAATTTCCCCTGCAGAAAGTTATGCAAAGCTCATGAAAAAAACTTAAGTTAGTCCAGTTGCTCTCAGTAATACTAAATCCTCAATATTAAGTTTCTGCATAGTTTTCTTTTGTTGTTGTTTTCTTTTGTTGTTTTTTTTTTTGTTACTTTGTTAAATCTTTTGGTTTCCATTTTTCCATTTCTGGTTCATATATTAGTTGTCAGTTTTCTCTAAACTTTTTGTTTAGGGGGGTGGGAGGATTTGTGAAGATTGTGCAGTTTTCGTCATGACACAACAAAATTCCTTCAACCTTACCCCTCTCTCCTTAAGAAATAAGTGATGACTAGTCCCAAAAGTTCAAGCATGCTATAGGATTGGTAAGGTACCATGGGGTAGCTGTTTATTTGGACTGGCAGCATTTCAGTATGAAATGATTGCATGCAATTGTGTTTGAAACCCTGTAAAGGCTTCTTTTTTTAATATACTGCTTGTTTTTAGGGGGGTGTTTTTGGTGAGAGCTTTCATTGTACTTCTTATCTCATGCAAGGGTGAAACAGGACATTTTTGTTACCAGTAATTACATATGATTTTAGTAAGTGAACTGAGTCACCAACACCTTGTTTGTAGCTCAGTTGTTAGAGTACAATCAAACTGTGGGGAAAAATACCACAGAGTCAAGCCTTTGCAATTGACTTTTCTCAGTTCTGTTTGTGGAACAAAATTCTAATGTCTTTGTTAAGAAAATGAGTTCTTTTTACATGCATTAGAATTAATTTATTTTAAGTAAACCCTTTGACTCCTACGAGTGATTAGCACCTGATTTCTCCTGACAATATTCCCCCAAATCACACATCAAGGTCATGAGAATAAATAAATTGATCACCAACTAGAGAAGCTTGTGATTGTTAAACAAATTCTCCTTGTCAGCACCTTAGGAAATGTATAGAGAACAGTATGGAGAGTATGCATTCTGATGTGAGAGTGTAAAGAGTGGTTTAAAATTATGAATTTCAATAGTTGATGAATCTGCATCTTATTTTTTGGGGGGTTGACTCAACTAAGAAAATTCCACAATATTTAGGTGAATGCTGTTTATGACTCCACACTGAGCAAGTGGATCATGGAGACAACCATACCTGTGGAGAGAACTGTAGGAAAATATGTGAATTCCAAGGCTGTATGCTGAGGTTCTGCAAAGAAGTATACTTTGACAATTTCACTAAATAAATGTAGTTACATTTGATCTTAAACTGTGCCTCAAACTGTACTAAAATGAAGGAAAATTACCTTAAGTAACTCCACTGAAGAAACGATGTGATCCCCATGATCAAAGCTTGATTAGGTTTGGTAGAACAATGACTGAACTTTCAGCTTTAGTCAGGAAAGAAACATGGAAATTTCTTTGGATTGTTGTGCAATTGCAAGGGAACAACAATGACAGCCTGTTTTCTTCTAAAGATACCCCATCCTTGAAATATTTAAGTGTATTTTTCTGTCATAAACCTATTCATTTTTTTTTATTTACTTTACTCTAATTTTTTAGTATGTGTGATTTTTAAAATTGCTCGCTCCTTGGGAATTTTGGCACTGGTATCAATAGTCTTGACACATCTGAAAACTTCTAGAATTTAAGTTGAAAGAGGAATTAGGAATTAAACACTAAAACTGGTTATTTGTACTTTAAAAATGCTAATTTCTTGTTAATAATTGCAAAAGAGTTGTCTTTACTCAGGTTTCACTCAAGTCCAATTTTCAGGAGTTTAATTCCTTCATATAAATTTTAGGCTTTCCTTGATCAAAAAAAAAGGAAAAGTTTTGATCCAAGATGAGAATATCATCAGACCTGGTATTAATAAAGTAAGCATCAAATGGTAAAATGAATGAGATAAAAATACACTTTACAAACTGGTCATTCCATCATTAAACAGCACACCTGTCACACATGAACTTGGTAGAAAGCTCAGGGCCGAGTTGTTCAAAGGTGGGATAAGATAACCCAGGTTTAGTGTGAAATTTGATTCAGATTTGAAAGCTTTAGAAGAAAATTTAGTTTAATTCCATTTGTATAAAATTTGATGATTGATCAATCTTAAAAGAATTGGGAAAATTATCCCAAAACGGCTTTTGAACAGAGAAATATAGAAACCCGGATTAAAATTTAACCCTGGGTTAGCGCTAATCAACCTTCGAACAACTGGGCCCAGTTCTCTAACAAATCCTCAGTCGATTTAACCCCCCCCCCCTAGTCTCCTTCGAAGCCGTTTTTCTTGGCTTTCACGCAAGCGTTGCGTGAAAGCCAAAAAAAATGGCTGGGAAGGAGTCTACCCTCCTCCCAACCCCTACCAAAATGTCTGAAGTAGACTCATAGCATAAAAATCGGGCTAAAATATGCTATGGGATTGGTCCGTACCATGGTGTAATGTTTCAGTTCAAAAAATGCATTCACTTGTATTTGAAAGCCTGTAAWAGCTTTTGGCTTACAATTATTGCATTTTTAGAGGAGTGTTTGTGGAGAGAGCTTTCACTGTCATCATCTTATCCATTTAGTCAAAAGGACTTCTTTTAAGTATAACCTTGGTAAGTGGACTGAGGCATGAACAACTTTTATGTAGCTCAGTTGTTAGAGTATAATCGAACTGTGAAATTATAACAGTAGGGCTCAAGCCCTCTCATTTAACTTTTCTCTGTGCTGTGTTGAGGAAAAATGTTTAATGTCTTCCTTTACATATATGAATATTTTCTAACATGCATTAGGACCCGTTAGGAGTAATTTTTCAGAGTTACGGAGATGTGTTTGTTGTGTTCAGCACTAATTGTATAAGTTTTTTTAACAAAGTTTTTGAATGTCTATATCTGATCCAGGGTTTGGAGGGAACTCTATTTTGGGTTTTAACAAACACAATCATGTACATTTCAAACAGTTTCCAGTTTTCAACAATTTCAAGTTTGTCCAGTATTCCTTTGGAGAACTTCAGTACACAGCCAGTAAATGTATATCCATCGCTATAGCAGATTTTCTCCATGGGTATATGGTTGTCTTTACAATCCATTTATCCTCTATAGGGTCATAGCATTCAACTGTCAACTCATTTCTCCTTGAAAGAGTTAAGCCACCCAGTACGTATACTTTTCCCTTCAGACACATCATGCTACCATATAAGTGGGATTTATTCAAGTTTCCAATAATCTGCCACTCATTTGTTGACACACAGTACATCTCACATAATCTCCACGCATAGTGTGAATTGTGCCCACCTCCAACAAAAATCTTTTCTTCAGAGGCCACTCCAAAAGCACCACCCCTTTCATCCTGCATGTCTACAATTTTCTCTCATTTATTTACCATGGTGTCAAATCTCTCAGCTTTTGTGACAAATTCAGAAGACTGTGGTGCGTACCTACCTACCTACCTACCTACATTAGTTGACCAGGTAATCCGATGTGCGCAAAAATTGGCCTGTCACGCAATGGATGGTCTTCACACGTTCAATCTTTACTGTGCACTGAACAGATTGAAGAGCGTCATACTGATTAACAGATGACACAGTTGAGAAAGGAACCGTGATGTAGATGTAGCTAATAGTGACATGACCCCAGGCCACCAGTTTAATATTAAAGATCTTTGCTATTGTAACGCAATCTTTCCTGAATCGGGGAAGTCATGCATGACGAGTAAATATCAAATATCTTTTGCTCTCTCATGTTATATTTTACTGAAGTTGTCGTATGAATTTTACTCGTATTTTTTCGTATTTTTTCAATCGTATATATTCGCATGTACCCATATGTTACTCGTATATTACTCCTATGTTACTGACGTATGCTACTCGTATGTTACTCGTATGTCATATGTTAACTTGAACAGAATAAATTTCTCCTTTGAGAACGGCCAGCTTTTCAGGACCTACATTTAAGTTTATCTCGGACCAAACGTTAAAAACAGGATCGTATCTGTCTGCATTTTGGTAAGTGGTGAATGTGAACAACTGGTCACTGAATTTAATCATCTTAGTTCAACTGGCGTTAGTGTCCTTTAGACCATCTGGTAAGCGCTTCCACAGGTCCTCTTCAGGGAGATAACCGAAAGTGTACTTGCCACCACGAACAACAATAACACGTGTATCGTATCCCTTTCTCGGTGACTTCGGGAGATCATCGTCATCGACAAAAGTAGCCATTTTTGTAGTAGCCTCCAAGAGCAGCTTCACACAAGAAAAATTCTCACGCACTAGTTCGTTTGTCACGACATCCTCCAAACAGTCACGCGACAAAAAACTCAGTCGTTCGTGACGAAATAATTCCTCAAATGCTGCATAGATATTTATTCAAATTTATATATGCAAAATTTGAAAAGGGAAGTTTAGAGGTTAACCCTATAATAAAACTTCCCTAAAAAAAAAAGGAAAGAAAGAAAAAAATATATAAAATATATATATAAACGATTATTTAGGAAAATAAAATTTAAAACTT